ACACACCTCTGGCCCACTGGCTTCACACAGGCTCAAGTCCTGCAGGCCTTCCCACCTTGCGGCTTCTGGCTAATTCTTCTGCCTGAGACATCCATCGCTTCCAGTGTTTTGAATCCCAGGTTATAGATCACCCTTAAGGCCAGCCATTTGTAATAGGTCCATCTTCCTTTGCCTGGACTCCCCTTGTTCTCTGGCACTGTCCCTTGGGACCACCTGTGCCTAGCCGAGGGCCGCAGTCAGCTGGTAAGGTATTGCTCTCTCTTCTACTCGGTGCCCATTTCAGACCCTACGGCTTCCCTGCACCTCAGGGCTTCTCGCAGGCTGGGCTCCGGTGCCTGGAGGTTAAGAGGGACCCATTTCATAGCCAAGCTCAGAAATCTAGCTGCAATGCCCTCTATCTCCTGGGATCGCCAGATGGGAACTTTCCATTCTTCAGCCAGTGAAAGGAAAATGAGTGCTTGCTGACGGGTGAGCGAGGAGTTGGCTCTGGCCTCCCCTGACCTCTTTCAGCCTCGTGACCCCAGGTTCTGGTTTTATGACCACATTCTCCATATAAAGATGGGGACTCAGGGAGGCAGGTGATCGGGAACACAGATTTCAAGGCCAGCTCACTCCTCACCAGTGATTAGCTGTGATTTTAAGAAATTGAGCGAGTTGTCCAGGCCATTTGCGCCTCAGTTTCCTCATCCTCCAGGACTCGTGGTGAGGTTGTTGATGCGGGTGACAAGGGATAGTGTCAGCAGTGGAGGCCCACACGCCATCTTGGCCTCTTCTAGCCAGAGCCAGCCAAGGCCCGGGAAGCCATGGCATGCCACCGGCTGGGGCGGGCAGGGCCTCGTTGCCTTCCCACAGGTGACCACACTGTGAAACCAGCTTCCACTTCCCAGACAACTTTCCCCGCAGATCCCGCTCCAGTACCGCCGACTGTGCTCCATCTGTCCTTCCTAACCCATGTCCATCTGGAAGTTGACAATGTGGCCTTACTGAGTAGAAACTGAGTCAGACACCAGAGAGTCACGCCTGTAATCCTAGCTACTAAAGAGGCTGCAACGTGAGGACTGCTGCTCAAAGCCAGCCCAGACAACGAAGTCCCTGAGACTCCTATCTCCAAGAAAGCATAAAAAAGCCAAACACGAGGCTGTGCTCAAGTGAGAGACTGCTAGCCTTGAATGAGAAAGCGCAGGGACAGATCCCAGGCCGGATTCAGGCCCCAGGAATAGCATGCATGCATGCACGCGCACACTCACGCACACGCGCGCATACACACACACACAGAATCTTTGAAAGTGTTACTCAAGTGTTTGAAATGAGATCATTCTGGATTAGGGAGGACCCTAAACCAATGCCAAGTATCCTTACTTGAGAAGGAAGAAGACAGGGCCCTATGAAGATGGAGGCTGAGAATGAAGTAAGGCAAGGAAGACCAGAAGTTTCAAGAGAGAAGAAAAGAGCTGGGTGCCGGTGGCTCGCACCTGTAACCCTAGCTACTCAGGAAGCTGAGATCTGAGGCTCATGGATCAAAGCCAGCCTGGGCAGCCAAGTTCGTGAGACTTTTTTTTTGTGTGGGGGGGTCCATTTGTGGGGCCTGAACTCTGGGCCTGGGCACTGTCCCTCAGCTCTTCAACTCAAGGCTAGCGCTCTACCACTTGAGCCACAGCACCACTTCCGGCTTTTTTCTTTTTGCTTATGTAGTGCTGAGGACTTGAACCCAGGGCCTCATGCATGCAAGGCAAGCGCTCTACCACTGAGCCACCTTCCCAGCCCCATTCCTGAGACTCTTATCTCCAAGTAACCAGAAAAAAGCCAGAAGTGGAGCTGTGGCTCAAGTAGTAGAGAACTAGCCTTGAGTAAAAAAAGCTCAGGGACACACCTAAGCTCTGAGTACAAGCCCTAGGACCAGCACCAAGAGAAAGTGAAAGGGAGGGAAGGAGGGGGAGGGAGTGGAAGAAGGGAGGGAGAAAGAGGAAGAGAGGGAACAAGGGAGAGGGAGGGGGAAAGGGTTCTCTAGAGCCTCGGGTGCTTAGGGAAGAACAAATCCTGCACCTCTCCAGCTCTGAGTCCTGTTGGTGTCTGCATCTTAAGGGCAGAGCGCCCATGGGGAAGGGTTTGAAGAATGCTCCACTTCCAGCTTCTGGCGGCATGAAGGTCAGGGAGGAACAGCCATGTGAACTGCTGTCCAACAGCATTGGGTTTGCCCACACAAACGTGGCAGCACACACTCCTGGTACACCCAGGGGACAGGTGAGGCTCAGGGGTCTAAGAAGGAATAATGGTTGGTGAGTGTTGACCGTGTGGTCAGCTGCAGATACCACACACAGCTCATCACAGCCACATAAGACCACAGCGGGCTCTGCCTTGTCACCTGACAGCTAATTCTGCATTACAAGTTTACTCTCAGTATTTTCAGTTGTCCCTGATCAGGGGCAAGAAAGCACTTCCAGGCTGAGGGTGTGTGTGTGGCTGATGTGGCAGTGTCTGCCACGCACGCATGAGGCCCTGACTTTAAACCCACTACCACGGGGAGTGGGGACACTCTCATCCTCAAGGGCACTCCAGACTTCCTGAACCGCTCGAGTTGAGGCTCTCGGCCTACTCCATCTTCCCGTTTTGTTGATGAAGGAACCTGGATGGAGTAAGGGTGTTTTATTCAGTGTGTGGGAGGCCAGATTAAGTAGGGATCAAGATCCACTGCTGTTTAGTCTAGACTGTTTGGTCAGCTTGCCAAACCCCGGTTGACAGCTGGACCGTGCACAGCTGTGCCTTTGATCTGTGCCCGAGGCATGACTCGATGGCACTCCCAACCGCACACCAAAAAGATGGCTCACCACGATCAACGTGGTGCGTCTGCTGCCCAATCATTACGACTTCAATGCTTAGCCTCAACGTACCCCGGCCATCCACACCACATGCTCAGACCACGTGGCAGGTGGCAGGTCACCTGCAGAGGCAAGGCTGGAAGGGGCCAAGTGGCAGGGGGACCCACTCCAGGTGGGCTATGCAAGTGGAGGGCTGCAGGCTGCCCTCTTACCTGTTACTTCATGGTCATCCTCCCCACCGTCCACTCCTGGAGGCCAGTGCTCCCCTGGGGACCCCCACCAGGGGATAGGGCGGGGCTAAGGTCAGCCCTGCTGCTCCCCCCAGAGCAGCCAGACCAGCTATGAGCAATTTGCATGGAGACAGTGAGCTCCAGCAGCCACCGAGAACACGTGCACCAACTTGAGTGTCCAGCTTCAATACGTGAGAGAAGAGCCATCTCATTCATGCTTCAAGTAAGGGAAATGTGATCTCCTTTCCTTCTGGTCATTTTAATTCAATTGTTCACTTGGGCATGGATGGCCCTCCTTCCCTTCCTCTTAGCTCTGCCCCCTGCCAAAGTAGGCGACTTCTAGGAAAGAATAATCTTCAGTGTAGACATTAAGGTACAAATCAATGTAGCCTGTATCCAAAGTCGGTCGGTCGGGGTCTCTCTCTCTCTCTCTCTCTCTCACACACACACACACACACACACACACACACACACACGGGGTCTCTCTCTCTCTCTCTCTCTCTCACACACACACACACACACACACACACACACACACACGTCCTAAGGGAGGGGGCAGAACAGAAGCAAACAAGAACAAATGGCGCCCCAGAATGGAACAAACCCAGACATCTCCAGAACCAGCACTGTTCAAATGACCTAATGGCCATTTCGTTAGAAGGGTCAGGGAACCATCAAATAGATGCATTTTCAACAAATAGAACAGAATATTGCAAAGGGAAAAACCCAGCAAATGAGGGCTGGGTGCACCCTGAGTCTGCCCACTGCAGCACAGGGATTAAGGTCAGAGAACCACAGCCCGGTGAGAGGCAGAGATGCCTCTCTGTGGGCCCTTCTGCCTTCTGTCCTCCAGTCTGGAGGCATGAGGAAGGAATGTTAATCAGCAACGAAGAAGAGATCAAGAAGAAGCTCTCCACGGAAATAAACAACTCTGGAGAAGCTTTCTCCCTGTGACTCACTGTTGGCTGCGTATGGGAACCACTATGCAGGCACACCAGACCTGCAGGCCTGACGCCAGAGGCGGCCAGGCGTTTGGTGCTGGTCAGCTCCTGGGCACTATGACTACCTTTGTGTCTTCAAAGGAGAGGCAAACTCTGGTTTCTTTGTAGATTAAGCATCAAAATGATGCTTCTTTCCAGATTCTTCCTCGCCACTGCTGCTGGGCTCAGAGACATCCTCCTGCTCCTGGGCACTTCTCACCCTTCTTATTTCTTTTTGAAATTAGAACTTTTTTTCCCATAAAGCAAAATAAAATTTTATGTGTTTATATACTGTTTACTAAATTTATATCCCACAGATAACAGGAAACTTGCCTTATCAATTTCCTAAGCAAAACTGTCATCTACTATGCAGCTGTTATTCTCAGCATTCATCATGAAAAGTGACATTTTATAGTGAATGAGTATTAGCAATTCCTTACTCTTATTACTAAATTAAATAGAACCACTTCTCTATAGCAGCATGACACTTCTCACCTTGATGAGCCACAGTCTGGGAGGAGGCCGTGCAGGCTTTCTGCCCCAAAGAGAACAGCTCCTCCCAGGCTCCTCGGTTCACGCCAGAGGAACGAGCATACATCCATGCCGTGGCCCAGCGCCACAGTCAAACAACACCCCCGACCACAAACCGCCCAGCACCTCCTGAGCTGACCCTTCAGCTCACGGAAACAAGCAACTCTGGTCCACAGCTCACACTCACCCCTTGGAGAAGAGAGCACAGGATGTTCCTGGGGCCCAAAGCAAGCAAGGAAAGAGCCATAAATTACTAACGTTTTTGGTGGGTTTCTTCCTTTGCTTTGAAAAGCCATTCTAAAATTTTAACTTACTGTATGTAAAACAGTATCTCAAGTTTCCCCTTAAAAAAAAAATTCCTGTTCTTGGTTTTGCTTGACCACAGCTGCTAACCGGCTAGCACGGGCACTGCTACCTCACACCCGACAAAACAAAAACAGAAACATCATTCAAAGTTTAATCAACTAATTGAAGCCCAACCTAATAATCACTTTAAGCACTTTGAAACCCAACAGTACAAACGTTCCCCATCACTTTCTAGTTGTCACTTCACAGGCATTCCCTCCAGGAAGTGTCTGCGCTTCCACGAGTGTTTCTAGGATTACTGATTTTCACACTAGATAACGGCGAACTGCTCTGGTTTCACAAACTCATCAGAGGGAGGATTTAGTCTGTTATGATATCCACATTCTCTAGTTGAGAATAAATGACTGAGTCCAAGAACATGCATACTTCTGGGGAAAAACCAGTGCATGTTTCTTGCTGTCACAAATCAATTTATGGGTAGACGTCCGTTCCACTCCGATGCCGCTTGCGGGCTTCTCTGGCCTCCCCGCTCCCTCCCTGCGCTGGGCCTGCCAGGCTGCAGGCGGAATTCAGGAATCAAGGGTCTGGGCTTTGGGTGTCTCCCTTGTCTTCCTCGAATCTGGGCCGTTTCAGTTCCGGAGGACTGCCCTGAGGGTCTGCAGGCATCTCTGAAATATTAACCATCATAAGGTCAGCAAGGACAGGAAGCTCTCCGTACACAGAGCTGATTGTTTACAAAATAGAGAACCATGACTGAAACGTAAGTGCCTGGCAAGATCCTGAACTACAGGAAAAGGATCTGCCCCACTGGTTCTCAATTAGATGACTCTGCCTGTAATGGGACAGTGACACTTGAGAATGTCATCGGCAAAGAAGTGGTACTCAGAGAGGCTACTGAACATCCTACAATACCCAGGGAACTCTCCAGATCAAAGAACTATCTGACCCAAAGCATTAGCAGCTAGCTTTCAGGTGGAGAAACAAATTGTGAAGCCATTATTGAGCTCCGAGGGATGTTTTTACTCCCACGGAGACACAAACAGCCAGAAAGTCTAACAGACCATTCCCAGCATGTAGCCGTGCTTCCTCAGAGCTGACATAAAACCACATGATGAAATGTTCAAAAGTACAGAAGATGTTCTATTGCAAATACACAAAACCAGTAACTATACAACTTACCTGATTCCATTTCTTCTGTGGAAGAGGGAGACATTAGGCCGCTTGGTAGAGAATTTGGTGGAGTATCTGTCTTTATGGGTGTTAAGTTTATTCTCCTTGATTAGAAGAGTAAAGATTAAAAAGGTAAAAATTCCTTAATATCAAAAGAATTGCTTATGCATGATACTAAGTTTCAAAACTACCAAAGGAGTTAACCAGGCCAGGCATTAAATTTAATGCTGTATGCAGGTATACAATAAGTAAGACTGCATTCACATGCTACATCAGACGGTCACATTGACAATACTCAGCTAGCTGAGACTGTCCACCATCTGCCAGTCTCAGAGGCTGAATTCTGATCATGAGCAATGGCCAAGCAGACACTGAGCAGACATGGTGTCTACTTACAAAAAGCAAGTACCAAAACATAGATAACTCTTGTTTATAAATCTAAAGTTTTCATTTTTAACATTTTAAAAACTATGGCTATAAGGTAGTAAATGGTTTAAAAAAAAATCAAGACACTAAAAGCAATTTAGCACCAGTTTTACCTAAAAAAATAAGAAGTTTAAAAATACGAATCTACCCTGCAGCAGTTAGAGTTAAACCTTAGAAGATGAAGTGAGAGAGTGGGTGCAGAGGTAGGGGTGGGATGGGAGGCTGGTGAGCAGGGCTCCAGCCACAGAGGACTATCCTCACAGCCCAGCTGGGTGACACACCTGCCAGCGGTGAACCGTGTGTGTGTGATCACACTGTAACCTGTACAAATATACAGTGTGATATTCAAGTGAAAGGTAAAATAAAACTGAATTTTTAAAAAGGCACTTGCTATAGTTTGGATAAGCAGCTCCCAGGAGGGGTGGGCCCAATGGAAGGCTGTCACGTCAGTGAGGCAGACCTGTAAGGGGACGCAGCCCCACCCCCACCCCATCTCTGCTTCAGGACTCAATGACAGGAGCAATCTCTTCTGTCCCTGGCTCCGGCCACGCACGGGCCACAGCAGGCCCCCCCCCCCCCAGAGTGAAGAGCCCAAATCAGGATTTCCTCCTCACATACTGACTGCCTCAGCCTGTCACCATGTCACAATGAAGGACACTAACCAACAGTGCTCGCTTGATTTGCATGCATTCAGAAAGTGCTTGCTGCTGCCCGGGCCAGTCAGCCAGGAAGAGAAATGAAGAAGACATTTCCTATCTTGCAGGGCTCAGAATATAAGAGGAGCTGGGGGACTAATAAACACCTGCTACCAGATGTCTACTCAGAGAGGAGGGCTGAAAGGGCACAAAGACCACATTCAAATAGGTCTTTCAAAAGACTCTAGGCCGAGCACTGGTGGCTCACATTTGTAATCATAGCTACTCAGGAGGCTGAGATTTGAGGTATAACGGTTCAAAACCAACAAATCCAACAAATCCGTAACACTCTTATCTCCAATCCCCACCAAAAAGCTGAAGTACAGGTGTGGCTCATGTGGTAGAGTGGTAGCCTTGAGCAGAAAAAACTAAGGGACAGTATCCAGGCCGGGAGTTCAAGTTCATATTAAAAATAATAATAAATACATTGCTTCTCTATTTATATACCTCTCCTTATACTAAATACACTAAAATGTTATTTGATTTAGCAGAAAGTGAAAAAAAAAAAAAACTCTAAAGCCACCAAGAGGGGCGGGAACGGGTTTTCCCAAAGGTCAGACACAGGCCGCACAGAGCACAGACCTTAGCATACACTCAATGCATGACCCTAGGTCCTCTGAGAGATTAGAACATTGCTGGTGTCAGAACGCCTGGCCACAGTCCCATCACAGGATGCGTCCAGGATGCACGTGCCCAGCCAGAAAAGCGTGTGCTTTGTCTCAGGCAGGACAGGCAGCTGCAGAGAACTGACAGAAGGAGCGAGCCTTCGTTCTGTGTATGAGCGTCACTGTCATGGACTGTCTATGATCATTCTGCAACAGTACTTTCAGTCCAGTGGTCTTACCGCGGAGGTGTTTTGCTCCAGGCCTGTAAAGTGTTCAGCGTGACCCTCCGTGATGGGGGGGCTCTGGGGTTCTGACTGTTGGGCTGCAGGATCTTCTCCTCTGAAGGGCTTTTGACACCAGGTGTGACTGGTGACATGTCCTTGACAGCTGCCGGGGCTGGAGTAGATGTGGTTGGCAGGGGCGATGTCCCAGGGCTGCTGGAGTCTTGAGCTCTGCTGGCCAGGCCTCCTTCGGCTGGTCTGGACCCTGGGGAAGCCCCCTGCTGCATCTGACTCTTGGTTTTCTTTGCTGTATCAGGAGTTCTCACCGTCAACACTGGCTTCTCTTTCAGTGGAATGCCAAGTTCATCTTTCTCAAATGTCACAAACGAGCAATAACCATCGGTAGAAGAAATGGCCAGGAAGGCTCCATCGCTGGACCTGTGTCCCCAAAGCAAGGGAAAAAAGGGGCTGTTACTAAAATCTATGGCTATGCTTAATGGTTTCTTGACTAGTTAGGAAATGGAAGTTCAAGCAAAATCACAGCTTTGACGACAAAATTCAGGAAGCACAACCAGGCAAGGGTGGTTTGTGCAAACACCCCAGGCATGCAGTTTCCTGCTCTACTCCCACCTTGACTTCCCACTTCAGTGCGAGCTATGTGCACTGCTACCAATGCTCGCCTGGGGTGACATGATCTCCCCAAGATGAAACGGAAATTACAAGGAAAAAGGTTATTACAAAGGGTGGGTAGGGCGCCAGTAGCTCACACTTCAGAGTATGGCAGCCTGGAAAGAAAAGTCCTCAAGATTCCACCTCCAAAATAACCAGCAAAAAGCCAGACTGAAGTTGTGGCTAAATAGTAGAGCACCAGCTGAGCAAACAAGCAAGTCCCTGAGTTAAAACCCTTGAACAGGCAAAACAAAAGAGAAAAACAAAAACAAAAGGCCTCAACCAGAGTGTGGCACCAAGCACGGCAGAGGCTGAGCAAGGGCCAAAGGTGGCAGGGGAAGGGCAGAGTGCCAAGTGACATTGCAGGGACAGTCCTGGATCTGAGGTCTTCCTGGGGGCTGTCAGGTGATAGCCTCCTCTCGGGGACCCTGGCTCTCAATGTAGGAGCTTAACCATCCTGGGAAGTACCGTGCAGGAAGCAGGCAAGCCCCTAGGCAGGCTGGGCCCGGTCTCCCCTTCCGTGTGAGCACCTCGTTGTAGCCTGGGCGCCCGCGCACTCACCAGGAGATATCGCTCAGCGTGTGGTAGTGGATGTTGGACACGTAGCCAAAGGGGAAGGGCTGCTGGGTGTCGTAAAGCAGCACCGAGTCCTCGGAGGCCACAGCAAACACCACGCGGTAGGGCAGCCTCAGCAGCTGCGTGCTGGGCTCCGGCGCCTTCTCTGCACAACAAACAGTAGGCAAGGAAAACACAAAATCCAGCTTCCCAAAGGGAAAGCCGATCTCCCAGAGCCCTCTCCTGGGGGCAGGCAGGACTTATTCACTAAAGCTCAGTTTACTGTAACATCTACAAAAGAATTTGGCTCCTAGCTTATACACAAACAGAGAGAAAACTAAATAGGCACGAGGGCAGTGTCCCAGAGAACCCAGGCACTGAGGTCCAAAAAAGACAAGAAAAGGAGAGAAGGGGCCGGGCGCCAGTGGCTCACTCCTGTCTTCCTAGCTACTCGGAGGCTGAGATCTGAGGATCATGGTTCAAAGCCAGCTCAGACAGGTAAAGCCATGAGACTCTTATCTCCAATAAACCACTCAGAAAACCGGAAGTGGCACTGTAGTTCAAGTGGTAGAGTGCTCGCCTTGAGCTGAAGAGCTGAGGGACAGCACCCAGGCCCAGAGTTCAAGCCCCACAACCAACAACAACAACTACAACAACAAAAAAGGACTGAAGGGAAGCCTTCACAAGCTGAAGAACTTGAAATACTATATCAAGTGTCTTCAATCCTCTATCCAATTAACTGTATTGTTTACATTAAGGATTAAAAGGTTAAAAATGGCTTCTGGTTCCAGCCATAGGACTGGCTTTGTTTTCCAAATGGAAAACACCAAAATCCCGAGGACTGGCCTCCGGCGGTGAGGCCCAGGCCATGAGACCCAGGGTTGCCAAGAGAGGGGAGCAGCCAGTCAGGCCCACCACTGCCTCCACTGCCTGGCAACTACAGGCAGAGAGCCCCTGCCGGCCTGAAGGTTCCTCATTGAGAGGCGGGGCTAGGGAAGGCCAAGGCGGGAGAGTGCTAGCGCTCGCTCGAGGCCTCTCCAGGCATCAGCTGAGTGCGGGCCAGAGCTGGCCTGTGAGGACTCAACCTAGGCTGGCTGGGCCTACCAGAGGAGCCAGGCCTAAGGCTCACCCAGGCCAGAGGGCACAGGGGTCCCCGGGGGCTGGACAGCAGCCCAGGGGAGGGAGGGCTGAGGAGTTGCTGGAGTTCTGCTGCATCCTTGCACCAGAGAACCACAGCTAATGACGACCTGCGCATTTCAGAAAGGCTAACCGAAGGATTTTTTTTTATCGGTTGTGGGCCCTGAACTCTGGGCCTGGGCACTGTCCTTGAGCATTTCCGTTCAGGGCTAGCGCTCTACCACTTGAGCTGCAGCACCACTTCCGGCGTTTTCTGCTTATGTGATGCTGAGGAATCGAACCCAGGGCCTCATGCATGTGAGGCAAGCGCTCTACCACTGAGCCACCTTCCCAGCCCCTGAAGAATTCTTTTCAATGATTTCACAACAAAAATTGCTGTTTGAGATGCATACACCCTGATGTGGAAGTTATACAATTATATAATTATACAATAAAAATGTACCAAAACTATCATACAGAGCTGGACGCAGTGGCTCACATCTGGAATCCTAGTTTTTCAGGAGGCAAAGCTCGGAAGGACCAAGGTTCAAGGCCAGCCTGGGTAGTAAGCTCATGAAATCCCATCTCAACCAGTAAAAGCTGAGTATGGCTGCTCATGCCTGTGCTAGCCATGTGGGAAGCAGAAGGAAGAGAGTGGTGATCCAGGCTGGCTCAGACAAAAATTAAGACCTCATTTGAAAAATAACAGAAACAAAAAGGGCAGGGGATATGGCCCAAATGAAAAAGCCCCTGCCTACCAAGCATGAGGCCCTGGGCTCAATCACCAGTACCGCTAAAAAATTCAAAATAAATACATAAAACATAACATATTGGGCTGGGAAGGTGGCTCAGTGGTAGAGCGCTTGCCTTGCATGCATGAGGCCCTGGGTTTGATTCCTCAGCACCACATAAACAGAAAAGGCCAGAAGTGGCCCTGTGGCTCAAGTGGTAGAGTGCTAGCCTTGAGCAAAAGAAGCTCAGGGACAGCGCTGAGGCCCCATGGAGTTCAAGCCCCAGGACTGGCCAAAAACAAAAACAATAAACAACCTAACATATGGTACCCCATCAATATGACAACGTTTAATAAGTAAACTGAACCGAGTCCATACACTGACCCTTTCCCAGTGGACAATCCAAGCTCCCCACCCCCACTTTGCTCGAGAACAGAGCAGCGGCATTGCACACAGACCCTACCTGTTTCTACAGCTGGCCTCAACTCAAAGTAGACTGGACAGCAGCGAACAGCCAGCGTGGCTTTTCCGGGGCAGGGAAGATGGGCCAGGGGCCTGCAAGATGACCACAGTTAGAAGCCAGCCGCTACTCTGCAAAGGCACAAGGGGCAGTCTCCATTCTAACGGTTTCAGTTGCATACCTTTTAAGGTTTTTCCTGGAGAAAACGTATGTTGTGTTCATTACATTCTCACCAGATTCCACACATCCAGCTAGGGGGCAAGGAAAGCGGGGAGACAGTCGGTGTTATACTAAACCAGTTCCCAGAAAAAGCCCAAGAGCCTTCAATTCTGGTCACATGATATTTTTCCCTCAAGTAATATTCTGTGGTTCTGATTCAATGATGATGATGACAATGTAGTTGTACAAAGGGATTACAATTCCTTAAGTCAGGCTATGAGTACAGTGCTTCTTGGTCAATGTCACCCCTTCCTTCATTCTCTCCCATTTCCCCCTCCCGTCCTATGCTCAATTTCCATAGTGTCTTTGATTCTGAGGACATACTCAATTAGACTGTCATGATCTGTCACTCCTTGCTCCGTACCTACCTACCTGTCCACACTAGCTGAGGGCTCACAGTCCCTGGGACACTGGGGCATGAAGGCCAACACGTTGGAAGGCCTTGTTAGCAAACACCTTCCTTGAGACCTGCGCTGGTGACGCGCTGTGACTGTTTGTGCCTACATTCGGACGCTGGCTGAGACTCTGGGCTGCCCCATGGCTGCCAGGGACAGCCTGGCCGGGGCTTCTACCTCGGCCCCCAGCAGCTCTAGAGAACAACTCTCCTTTTAGTGTTTTCCTTGTCGGTGTTGTTCTTGCCGGTTCTTCTCTTTCCTTTTTTTTGGTACTGGGGCTTGAACCTAGAGCTTCACTCCTGCTAGACAAGCACCCTCCCCGGTCCATGTTCTGACAACTCTGAGGGGTCGCTGCACTGATGCACAGCAGCCCTCTCTTCCATGATTTCCCACCAACTCAACCTGCTCTAGCTTTGGCCAAATGACAGTTCTACTTCAAACACAAACAGGCCTTTCATTTCTTCAAGGATGTCTAAGTTTCTAGCCAAAGCTCTTCCTCATTTCTATTTTATTTTTATATTTTGTCGGTCATGGGGCTTAAACTCTGGGCCTGGGTGCTGTCCCTCAGCTCTTCAGCTCAAGGCGAGCACTCTACCACTTGAGCTACAGCGCCACTTCCGGTTTTCTGGTGGTTTATTGGAGATAGGAGTCTCAAGGTCTTTCCCGCCTGGGCTGGCTTTGAACTTCGATCCTCAGATCTCAGCCTCCTGAGTAGCTAGGATTACAGGCGTGAGCCACCAGCGCCCAGCTGCTCTTCCTCATTTCTAAAATAGCACTCCAGATTTTCTTGCATGAGTGTTGTTTTTATATTTACATTTAAGTACTGAATTCACCTAGAATTTATTTCTATTTTGCTGGTACTAGGGTTTGAACTCAGGGCCTCACGTGCTTGGCTTGCCTGCTCAGTTGCCACTCTACCACTTGAGCCATGCCTTCAGTTCTAGTATTTTGCTGGTTAGGAATCTCGAGGACTTTTCTGCCAGAGCTAACTTGGAACCTTGACCCTCTGGGTTCCAGCTTCCTAAATAGCTAAGATTGTAAGTGTGAGCCACCAGTGTCCAGCTTAATAGTAAAAAATTCTAAATTGCAATCTGCATGAGACTTCCTCTCTCAAAATGGATAGATCATTAGAATCATTAGTAAATCTTTTGAAAGTTCCAAAAGGTACAACACCCACCCCAGACTAACTTAACGACCATGTGAGAGGTCACAGGCAGTCCTAGCCCTGGAAGGACCTGGAAGGACCACCACGCGGACAAGTTGGTGATAGTTGCTCTGAGTGGACTTCACTGAGCTCAAAAGCAGCAGAAGTCCCTGCTCTGCCATCCACCCTTAAATCAAACACTGTCAAACACACCTGGTGTGAGGAGCAAAGATCCATCAGGGGTGAAACTGAGTCTACGAAAGAACGACTTCATGCTGTCATCATGAAACATCCGGTAACTTCTTGCCTGTGACACAAGAGGTTTAGAAGTCATGCCAAAGTCATGATAAAGGCATACTGATGACTGACTTAGTAATACATGAAACAGAAGTACATTACAACCAAATAATCACATAAGCCTGCAAAGTAATCATTCGTGGGAACCCATCACTCACATTTGCTAAGTAAGCCTATGCATGTGTGCATTTGGGTGGTTGCAAAATTATTTTTTCAACCAACTGTAAGAACACACAGTGCGTGTCAACAGTGCTCAGTCTAGGGAGAGGACTGGGAGATGCGGGAAGATGATCAGGGGACCTCTCTTTCACCCGCTGTGTGGGACAGCTGTGTCACCATTTACCGACACTGTCAACACAGCCTTCGGATCTCAACACAGCCTTCGGTTCTCAAGAACCCAAGGAAGCAGGGACTACAGACATGCGCCCTCAGTGCCAGACGCAGCCTTACCTTGGAGCCTAGGCACCAAGTCCCTTTGCTGCCTCCACAGGTGACTTACTCCCTTCACCTGATTATATGTGTGCCTGCATCATCTTCTAGATCCTTCCTCTTCCTAATATGAGCCCGATGGCTGGTCTTTGCTTTCCACTGACCTGTCACACTGGTGTCCAGCCTTCCTTAGAGTCACTGTTCAACCCTCACTACACCCTGGAATTGTGGGCCCCGCTTATCTCTGCCAGGTGAATCACACCCTAGGCAACCATGCTTTCCAGGTGGTCCCTTGGTGTCAGAGCTATTGTCCATCCAAAGCTCTCCACTGGGAAGGTCAGAAGCTCACACCTACAATCCTAGTAGCAGAAGAAGCTGGGATCTGACAGGCATGCTTCAAAGCTGGACTGGGCAGAATAGTTTGAAAGACTATCTCCAATTAACAAGCAAAAAGCTGGACCAGAAGCATGGCTCCAGTGGTGAAATGCCAGTTGTGAGTAAAAAATCTGAGCAAGACCGTGAGGCCCTGAGATGAAACCCCACTTCAGGCATATACACACACAGAGCAAGCTCTGCCCTGTTCTGATGTCCCCACCTTCATACAGTATGGCCCGGCTCACATTAACTGAGCCTTCATGTCCCGGGGGAAGCTTTAGTGAAGCCCAAAGCACTAAGGTCAATTCCCAGTCCCATCAATAAATTGATCAATAAGTAAAACAAAGTTCTGTCGAGAAAGAATGTCAAAGTGTCTATACCTCTCCTTCGGCCCCTATCCCGGACAGCATCTTTGACACATTGAAAGCCACACGTTTCTTCTGCGTGCTGTACACGCGCAGTACCCTGCCAGAGCACACAAGTGTGAGTTTTGCTTCAGGTAATTGAAATATGTTTCACATAGAAGCAATCTGCACCCATGCATCCATCTATGACACCCCCCCTCCCCCCGCCAAAAACCGTTCCAGCCTGCGGAGCACAGCTATTCACATTGCTAACTAGGACTAAGCCACAGAGCCAAGGAAACATCCCAGTCAAAGCAGGTACTAACAATATAAAGGACACTGTGGTAAGGAAATATGTCGGACCGGTGCTGGTGTCTCACACCTATAATCCTAGCTACTCAAGAGGCTGAGATCTAAGGATCGCAGTTCATTTATTTTTCATTCAGTGTTTCTTTTCAAGCAGGACATACCAGAGTCCTGGTCTGACTTTTAAGGTCTAGGACATCTGGCCCTGTGGTGATTTATACAATTTACTGAAGTTTGTTTTGTGTTAAAAGATCTTGCTTGTTGGAGTAAGGAAAACAGCCAGTAAATATGGCTTCTGTTATTTTGTTTCTATTTGTTTTTACAGTTCTGGAGATTAAACTGAGTTTGCTAGGTAAGTGTTCTACCACTTGAGCCACAATCTGACTGTTAAATATTATTATTTATATATATATTATTATTTCCATTAATCAAACTGGTACTCCAGATCTCCTGAAAGTAAGAAAATGAATGGCATTCACAACATAGCTGGGGGGGGGCGGTCTATGAAAGATAAACACTACCTGTACATGTTGTATATTTGTTGTGATGGCACGGTGATTTGAACTCAGAGCCTTGCCCTTGATAAACAGGTGCTATACCACTTTGAGTCATTCTACTAGCCATTACCTAGTGCTTTTATTCCAGGTTTATATGGAGTTCGATTTTTTCTCTCTCTCTCTTTTTTTTTTTTTTGCCTCTCCTAGGGCTTTAACTCAGGGCCTGGGCACTGTCACTAAGCTTTTGTGCTCAAGGCTCCAGCTCCATTTCTGGCTTTTTACTTGGAGGTAAGAATCTCATGGCCTTTTTTGCCCAGGCTGGCTGTGAATCATAATCCTTAGATCTCAGCCTCTTGAAGAGCTAGGATTATAGGTGTGAGCCACCAATACCCGACTGAGTTCAGTTTTTGTTACTGTTTTTGTTTTGTTTGTTTTTGCCAGTCGGGGGCCCTGAACTCTGGGCCTGGGTGCTGTCCCTCAGCTCTTCAGCTCAAGGCAAACACTCTACCACTTGAGCCACAGCATCATTTCTGGCTTTTTCTTGCTTATGTGGTGCTGAGGAATCAAACCCAGAGCCTCAAACATGCAAGGCAAGCGCTCTACCACTGAGCCACTTTTCCAGCCCTGAGTTCAGTTTTTAAGAAGGCACTCTTAGCCTAGCATCAGTGGCAAAAAAAAAAAGGCACTCTTTAACCACTTTGGCTACTCCCCAGCCCTAAATTCAATTTTTTAAATTAACAAGTTAGATGAATATTTGAAAAGACTATCCCACTAAATAACATACTTAGAATCCCAATTTTTAATTCTTTGTTCAAATAAACACAGTTAAATGCAATGAATACCAACACAGCACAAGACTTCCTTGCAACAAAGGAAACAAGAACAAATGAATCAGGCTGGGAAGGCAGCTCAGTGGTAGAGTGCTTGCCTTGCATACATGAAGCCCTGGGTTCAATTCCTCAGCACCATATAAGCAGAAAAAGCTAGAAGTGGTGCTATGGCTCAAGTGGCAGAGCGCTAGCCTTGAGCTGAAGCGGTGAGGGACAGTGCCCAGGCCCAGAGTTCAGGCCCCACGACCAAAAAAAACCCCAACAAACAACAACAACAAAAAACCCAGGTGAATCAAATCCAGGCTGTAATTTATCTCAGTAAAGTTGTGATTATAAAGAGCTCTGCAAAAAATGTCAAGTAATCAAGAGAAAATGCACCAAATATTGACTTACCTGTCACAACTCAGAGTAGCAATATACTGACCCAGAGGGTCCCAGGTTACTCCTTGCACATAACTTTTATGCTCATTAAAAATGGAAATCTTTTGTCCTACAAAACAAACCCACAAAACATTACCAAAAGCTACTTGGGTACACATTTGTAAATTAAAGCATAAGTACTATTCCCTTAGCAGGCAGTAAGGGAGGGGCTCTGTTCAAAGCCCTGTGTCAATCCCGAACACTACTCCAAACAGCCCACCCTCAAGAGGTTCACAGAGCTGGGTGCCAGTGCTCACACCTGTAATACTAGCTACTCAGGAGGGAGAGATCTGAGGACTGCAGTTCAAAGCCAGCCCAGACAGGAAAGTCCATGAGATTCTTATCTCCGATTAAACACCAAAAAGCCATAAGTGGAGCTATGGGTCAGGTGGGAGAGTGCTATCCTTCAGCAAAAAAAAGCTCAAGGACAGTGCCCAGGCCCTGAGTTCAAGCCCCAGGACTGGTAATAAAAATACAGCCATACATCTATAGACTACTGGAGCCCACACCATGATCTTCTCTCCCCTAATCCCTTCCTCTGCCTCCATGTTACTCTGGAGTCCATGGGCCATGTGCCACCCAGGGATTCTTCTAGAAACATAAACATGCAGACATGTGGCACTCAGATATGTTTAGGGTAAGATCTAAAATCCTCTCCAGGGTCCACTATGGTGTGTGTGACCTGCTCTTCATCTCCTCAACTTCAGATGCTCCCTGCCCCCCACATTTATCCCATCCTCTACTCGGAATGTGCAACCTCTACCACAGGACTTGTGTTCTTGCTGCTCCCATGGCAACAGTGCAGGGGTGCTCGTCTCATAGATATGCTCCCTCGCTTCACTCATCTCTGCTCATACTTCAGATGCTCTGGTAACTGCACACAGCCCTTCAGCACTAGCAGCCCCATGCGTCCGTGCCTGGCATCCTCACCTATATGTAGTTATTTTGTTCCTGTGGTTTCCAGCACTTGCACGCAGAAGCACCCAGCACACTGTGAGACAATGTTCAAAATCACTGCAACTGGCTTAGGGGCATGCTGGATGACTGGCCTCACGGACACTGATATGTGCTGGACACGAAGACAATGCCATTCATTTGCCTTACTTTGGCAACTGCTGCTAATTCTCTAACACTGGAGCTTCTTACGTGCTCGTGTCCCCTCCACCGGAGCAGAGCACGATATCCTCAGCCTCCCAAGAACCCCTAGAATGAAAACTGACCCTCTTTCCTCGCCATTCAGGGCATTTTTACCTTCTCAAGGAAAAAGCTCACTGCCTGCCCCTCATCTCCACACCCAGAGGATGTATTTAGATTTTGCCTCTCCCAGGCACTGATAATTCGCAACACCATCGCCAAACTTCCTAGATTCTAACTGGGATGCTAAAAATTGAGCTGGGTCCGTGGCATTTTGCACCAATCTGTCTCTTTCTGGCTAACTTCATTTCACTGGAGAAATCTTTCATACAACTCTTGGAGGTAAAGCAGGCCAGGACATTCCTTCTCCTGACAGGTCCATCAGCCTACCTACCTTTACTGACATCCCAGATGATGGCCGTGTTGTCCACAGAGGCCGAGGCCATCAAGTTCCCATCAGCTGCCCAGCAGATGTCATACACGTCCTCCAAGTGGCCCCTGCAGTCCAAAGACGACGGAGAAAAACAAGCAGACCACTATGATCTCAAACAAGTTATCAAACCCAGGAGATTCTAGAATCTCTAGGATAAAATCCTAGAAATCTCTAAGCCTACCTAGTAACAAGCATGTTCAAGAATATTTGTATCTTTCAAACAGATTCGTTTTAGTGGGGTGCTGGTGGCTCGTAACTGTAATCGCAGCTACTCAGGAGGCTGAGATCTGAAGACTAAGGTCCAAAGCCAGTCTGGGCAGACAAACCCAAAAGACTCTTATTTCCAATTAACCACCAAAAAGCCAGAAGTATGGGGTCAAGAGGTAAAGAACTAGCCTTGGGCAGAAAAAGCTAAGCCTGAGCATGAGGCCAAGTTCAAGTCCCAGTTCTGACACAAAAAAAGATTCATTTTAGCTGGTATGATTGTGAACACCCGTAATCCCAACACTTGGCAGGCTGGGAGCAGGACCGGCAGCTCAGGGCCAGGTCAGGTGAAACAGCAAGACCCTATCTCAAAACTAGAAAAAAAAAGATTCGTACTCAAGAAAATTTTATATCAGACAGTAAAATAAAATCCATTACAAACATGTTTCTTTCTTGTTGTTTTTGTTTTGTTGGTCAATGAGGCTTATACTGAGGGCCTGGGTCCTGTCCCTGAGTTTTTTTGTCAAGACTAGTGCTCTATTACATTAATCCACAGCTCCACTTACTGTTTTCTGGTTGTTAATTGGAGATTAAAATCTCATGGACACTCTCTCTGCTCTTTTCTAGCTCTTTCTCAGCTCTTTCCTTCTCTTCTCTTTCCCAGCTCCCTTCTCTTTCCTAACTCTCTCTTTCCCACCTTTCCCAGACGCTCTCTTTCCTAGCTCTTTTCTCTCTCTTTCCCAGCTCTCTCTCTTTCCCAGCTCTCCCAGCTCTCTTTCCCAGGCCTTTCCCCACCGTGTGGAGGGCCAAGATGGCCTGATGCCAGCCAGAACGATGAATAAAATCTCATGGACTTTCCTCTCTAGGCTGGCTTTGAACCTCAATCCTCAGATCTCAGCCTCCTGAGCAGCTAGTATTATAGGTGGGAGCCACTGGCACCTGCCTTACGAACATGTTTTTATCCTTTGTTGTCTTATGACTACCTGACATAAGTAAGAATTTAAGTTAGACATAAAGATAAAAGGTGGGTGTGGTGGCACATGTCTGTAATTTCAGGCTGATATAGAAGGATTGTGAGTTTGAGGCCAGGGTGAGCTATATATACCAAGACTCTGCCTCAAAACAAAGCCAAGTATGGTGGTACTGCCTATCATCCCAGTACTCAGAGGTAGACACAGGATGGCAAGTAAGGAGACATCCTGGATTACACAGAAAGTTCTACACTAGGCTGGGCTGTAACAGTCTCAAAAAACAGAGGAACAGGAAGTGGCGCTGTAGCTCAAGTGGTAGAGCGCTCGCCTTGAGTTGAAGAGCTGAGGGACAGCGCCCAGGCCCAGAGTTCAAGCCCCACGACCGACAAAAAAAAAAAAAACAGAGGAACAAATAAAAGCAGACACAAAGATCAGAAGGCGTTTAAAGCATGCAGGTTGTAGAGATAAACATTCCCAGAGCCACCCCAGTTACCTCAGCGTTTTCACAACAGTCCAGTTCTCCTTATTCAGCTGAGCCTCGTCCTCATCCTGAAAAGCAATCTGTTCTGGCTCCTTGTTGTCGTTCACCTTCCACAGCAGAATGACAGCATCTATGCAGGGGGTCAATTGAACACATGCCGGCCGGACAACCCAGGAAAGTAGCTTACACCTGCAATCCTAGCTACTCAGGAGGTTGAGATCTAAGGACTGTTGTTTGAAGCCAGCCAGGGCAAGAAAGTTTGTGAGACTCTTATCTCCAACTAACCACCAAAATGGCAGAAGGGGAGCTGTGGCTCAAGTAGGAGAATGCCACGCTTAACAGAAAGCCCAGGGACAGTGCCCAGGCCCTGAATCAAGCAATCAATCAATGCAGGCTTCTGAGCCTTTAAGACCAAAGGACTTTGCAAAACAAGAGCTGTCCTGTGCTTCCTCCTTGCCAGGGCGAGTATGTACTTCCTGTGAGTTCACACACAGGCCACCCTCTGGACACTGTGGTACTGAACTCAGCCAAAACTGAGATTTCTGTTTTATACTGTTTTCTACACTATTTTAAAGTATGGTATAAAGGCTTATTCTTTTTGTGTTGGTGGTTCTGGGATTTGAACTCTGGGCTTCATGTTCATCAGGCAGGCAGCTCTAATATTTGAGCTCCATCCCCTAGGTAGAAGCATAAAAGTATATTCTGCTGGGCGCTGGTGGCTCACGCCTGTAATCCTACTACTCAGGAGGCTGAGATCTGAGGATAGCGGTTCAAAGCCAGCCCGGGCAGGAAAGACCGTGAGACTCCTATCTCCAATAAACCACTAGAAAACTGGAAGTGGCGCTGTAGCTCAAGTGGTAGAGTGCTCGCCTTGAGCTGAAGAGCTGATGGACAGCACCCAGGCCCAGAGTTCAAGTCCCATGACTGACAAAAAAAAAAAGTATATTCTACATAAGCAAGAATAAAATAAGCACAAGAATAAAATAGAAACAAACATTCATGATAAGACCAGCCCCTAAAATGTTCCCAGAGACAAGAAAATGTGACCCTGAACACCACAGACATAAAACTCCCAATCAAAGCCAGAACCACTGCCCCAGGAACAAATAAAGGAGGAGCTGTTCTCAAATCCATCCTGAGGTTTCTAACACTCCTTACTCTGACACACTCCAAAATGTTATTTTGCTGAGCTACCTAAATACTGATATCAGAAGAAAGCTAATTTGGCTCAAATCTCATTTTTTTTGGGGGGGAGGGCGCATACAAGGTCTTGCTACATAGCCCATACTGTCTTCAAACTCACAATCCTCCTACTTCAACCTCTTCCTCATCCCCAGTTCTAGGATTACAGGTGTTTCCCACCACGATCAGTTCATGACATAAGACACATAGGTATCAGGTTCTCAGAGGAATATGGAAATATAATACTCACCATCTCCTCCTGATGCTAAAATTCCCCCAGTTGGAGAAAACCGCACAACATTAACAGCTTTGGTGTGACGAGCAAGATTTGACAAAAATTCCACAATGGCTTTTCCATCTGGTCCTTTTTCAACCTTCCAGATCTGTTGACAGCAAAAACATTCACTAGGAAAACATACAGTGCTGCCGGGCACTGGTAACTCAGGCCTGTAATCCTAGCTACTCAGGAGACTGAGATCGGAGAATTGCAGTTCAAAGCCAGCCTGAGCAAACAAATCTGCAAGACTGCTATCTCTAACCAGCAAAAAGTTTTTAGTGAAGGTGTTGTTTAAAGTGGTAGTGTACCAGCCTGGAGTGGAAAAGCCAATTGAAAGTACGAATCCAAGTTCACATGCCAAGAAAAAATTGTTAAACAATTCTATGTTTATTGCAAGGAGAAAGTTGAATTCTCTTTGTGGAGACATTAAATGAATCTAAAGCATACAGCAGTAGTTGCGTTGTGTACTGTCCACCCTCCTACTTTTGTCTAGAGCAAGGTGTCACCCCACGAGAAGCCACCATCATATTGTAAAATGATTGGCACCACTTGGCCACAAGGTAAGGAGTTAGCATGAAATCTCTTCATGTTTTCACTGTTTACTCCAAGCCCTGAGATTTTCCCAGGCTATACAAGGCATTGGGGTTGGTTGACATTAGTCCTATGTATTCATTTATGTTAATTTATGTGTATGCCACTATTGGACTTGAACTCAGGGCTTTAACACCATCCCTCTGATTTTTTTGGCTCAAGACCAGCACTCTACCAGTTGAGCAAAAGCTCTACTTCCCACTTTTTTGTGGTTAATTGGAGATAAGAATCTCAAGGCTGGGCTGGGAAGGTGGTTCAGTGGTAGAGCACTTGCCTTGCATGCTCGAGGCCCTGGATTTGATTCCTCAGCACCACATAAGAAAAAAGAAAAAAGCCAGAAGTGGCGCTGTGTTTCAAGTGGTAGAGTACTAGTCTTGAGCTGAAGAACTGAGGGACAGCGCCCAGGCCCAGAGTTCAGGCCCCACGACTGGAACCTCCCCCCCCCCCAAAAAAAATGAATCTCAAAGACTCTCCTGCCTGGGCTGGCTTTGAGAATCCTCAGATCTCAGTCTTCTGAGTAGCTAAAATTACAGGAACGAGCCACTTGAACCAGGCTTGATTAGTTTTACATGAATAAAGGAATGAAAATTTCAGCTAAACGTAGAGTTTCTATGGATCTTATGATCTCTGCCTGGATTTACCCTGACAGCAGTGTCCACCCCGGCTGAGGCCAGCCTGTGGATCTTCCCGTTTGTGTTGTGCTGGAAGTCCAGGCTGTACACAGGCTCCTTGTTGTGCCAGGCTATTTCACACGTGATGACCTTCATCCTCCCACTCTGGACTCACAAGAAGTTTCTCCTGTAGTGAGCAGAAAAACACCAGCAATAAATTATAGGACATTGTAGCAGTGAAAGTCTATTGAGCAAGTGCTTGCTTATCAGGAACCCCTGCTAAATACTGTGAAGGCACCCAGCATGGGGAGAAGAGGCCAGAAAGTTCTGCTTCAAATGCTTCCTTGATCCCTGCCTTCCTCAAGTTCATGATTCTGCTACACCCAGAAGAGCAAAATGAAAAACACCCAGGTAGACTGGGGATGGCGGCCTTGAGGGAGCATCCACAGGGCCCAAGAGGGGGCCTATATGGGGGTGGGGTGGGGCTATCTACCATTAGGGCTACCTGAGGAGAAAATCACTGGGGAGGGGAACCAAGGGGATTAGTGAGGGATAGGTAGGTAGGGAATCACAGGGATCAGGAGGAGGGGGCGGGGGGAGAGCATCCCAGAAAAGGGAGTCTCAGGGGCAAGAAACCTGCACGTGCCAGAGGGCAGGATGGAACGGACATGGACAGTGGCCGGGAAGCCCCCCCCCTGAGGGGACACTGAGGGGGAGCCCTTCCTCGGGGAGGAGACTGGGGGAGAGGCCCCTCCTCGGGGAAGGGACCCGGGGGTAGCCCCCTCCTCGGGGAGGAGACAGTGAGGGGAGCCCCCTCGGGAAGCCCGGCCGGCCTAACAGGGAGGAGGTCACGCAGGGCCCGGGCAGGGCCGGCCGCCCGCACGCGCGCCACTGCGAAACCTATCCCCTCCCCAGCAGCGGCCCGCGCCCCGCCAGTACCTCTTGCCTGGCTCGTCTCCTCAGAACCGTGGAATTTGGGGGAGGTCACCAACTCCAGAAGCCGAACCTGCAGGGACGCGCCGAATCCGCGGCGCCGCCACCTCCCGCCGTCGCGCGCGGCGCTTCCCGCGCGCCGCAGGCTCCACCCCCTCGTGGGCGGGGCTAGGGCGAGGCCCGTCGCGCGGTGGGCGTGGCCACGGCGCTATCCCGTCTTCTAGCGGGCGGGACTCCGGAGATCTGTGCAGCGCCACCGGTCGGTGGCGGTCATCCGTCCACCGGAGCCGGCGGGTCAGGACACGGCCCGGGCGAAGACAGGCAGCGGATTCTTTTTTTTCTTTTTTTGGTCGGTCGTGGGTCTTGAACTCTGGGCCTGGGCGCTGTTGCTCAGCTCTTCAGCTCAAGGTGAGTGCTGTACCTCTTGAGCCACAGCGACACTTCCGGTTTCCTGGTGGTTTATTGGAGATAAGTCTCATGGACTTTCCGGCCCGGGCTGGCTTTGAACCACGATCCTCAGATCTCAGCCTCCTGTGTAGCTAGGCTGGCAGGCGTGAGCCACCGGCATCGGGCTGAAGGTACGTTGTGAGCCTTTTTGCTCGAGGCTGGCGCTCTTCCGCGAGTGCCACAGCCCCACTGCCAGCTCTATGCTGGGTAATTGGAGATAGGACTCTCGGGGACTTTTCTTTTTTTTTTTTTTTTTGTCGGTCGTGGGGCTTGAACTCTGGGCCT